TTTTCCAACTTGGATTTGGGTTAGATCCCTCATAACTCACCTAAGCCCCTCTATCTTCAATCTTTCTTCTCCACTCTCCTTTTTGTTCTCTTTACTTTACTCCTTTTCCACCCTTACTGCCACCTCCACACCATAACACTGATTCCATACCTTATCCTTTGAACACTAATATTACATTGAAACCTTATCCTACTGGTTTCAAAATACCTCAGCTCGAGACATATGACGGAACGAAGGATCTAGATGATCACCTCCATGCCTTCTACTTCTATTTGCAAGTTCAGAACGCCTCTGATGCGTTGATGTGCAAGATCTTTTCCTCCACTCTCCCTAGTAATGCTCAAACCTAGTACTATAATTTGCCTTCGAAATCTATAAGCTTTTAAACAGAAATGGCATCTACTTTTGCTACAAAGTTTTCCAACAGAAGGTTGATTAGGAAAATCACTTCTAAACTGATGCAAGTCAAACAGAGGGACAGAGAATCCTTGAAGAATTACATGAGCAGGTTCAATGATGCAATCCTCAAAGTCAGCTCATTCAACCAAGCTGTAGGAATTGCGGCTGTAATTCAAGGTCTCCAACACAAGAGATTCAGAGATAGCTTAATTAAGCATCCTGCTACTACTTTTAATGAGGTTAATGGCAGATCCTTGAAATTCAAAACTATTGAGGAATATGCCTTATCACAGAAGCCAGTTCTCCCTAAGAATCAAAACCCAGATTGGAGAGATGAGGGTTAGAGCAAAAAGCAGATGAAGACAGTACAGAATCGAGGTCCGATGTCTACCTCCACACCGAGATTCGAAAAGCCGAACTCCGTACCTCCCCAGCAGATTACCAATAAAGCACCAGTTACATGGACTTCTTTCAATCTGCTGAGGTCATAGATATTTATACAGATCAAGAATAAGATGGATTTGAGGTGACCAGGGCCAATGAGAAGTTCTGTTGTTACACGTGATCATACTAGATATTATGATTTTCATCAAGATCATGGTTATACAACAGAGGAGTGTAATAGTATAAGGTCCGAATTGGAAAGTCTAGCTCAAAAGGGCATGCTAAATGAATACATCCCAACAAACAGAGCAACTGAAGTTTGTTAGAGAGTAGGGGCCACAACCATAGGGATCTCATAATGCAAGAAACAGGCAAGGTGTGGGATACCAACAAGCCCCACCTCCACTCCCGCCACCGGCTAGGATTATACATATGATTACGAGAGGATTGGAAGCTAGGGGTTTGAGCTCCCAACAACGAAAATTATATGTCAGGAAGGTGAAGCATCAAAATTGAGCTTAGAAACAAAAGTTTGATGACGCTGACTGGAAGAATCAACCCATCACTTTCACACCTACTGACTTCAATAGAGTTGTCACACCCCATAATGATCCTTTGGTAATTTCTGTTACGATTAACAACTGTGAGGTAGAACGTGTCTTTGTTGACACAGGAAGTGCACCAGATATTATGTATTTTCATTGTTTTGAGAGTCTCGGACTAGATCCAACTCTGTTGTAGAGGTACGATGGTCCCATATACGGATTCAATAACCAAACTATTCAGGTAGAAGGAGTCCTTACCCTTAATGTTGCTTTTGGGAGCGGACTAACTTATGTTACCCCTTCAGTTTGGTTTCTAGTTGTCACAATGGCATCCTCCTTCAATGCTGTTATCGGACGACCTACATTAACCACGATCCGAACTGTGGTCTCTCAGTTTCACCTCTGCATGGAGTTCCCAACCTCTATAGGGATAGCAACACTACGAGGTAACCAGGAGGTGGCTAGACATTGCTATATAACCTCGGTTACAAGGCCTCAGAAAGGCAAAGATCAGAGATTAGAAACCATTTCGCAACAAATTCATGATAATCAGCAGGTGATGGGGGTGGAGATAGTAGACAACCGACTTGAATATGAAACTAAAGCTACCCCAGTTGAGGATGTAGAGGAAGTGCAACTTAATGATAGAGATCAAAATAGGAAGACACAAATTGGAACTTAGTTGAACCCAAAGGAAAGAGCAGAACTAATAGCTTTCCTCCGAACTAACAAAGATGTCTTTGCTTGAACCTTAGCAGACATGCCAGGGATTCCAACCTCAGTATCTCAACACAAGCTCAGCACTAATCCATTGAAGAAACCAGTAGTCCAAAAGCGACGCCTCTTTGGGGGGAAGAGGTTTCAGGTTATAAAGGAAGAAGTAGAGAAACTCTTGCAAGCTGGCTTCGTTAGGAGAGTTGATTACTATGAATGGGTGGCTAACCCGGTGTTGGTCAAGAAGGCAAATGATAAATGGCGAATGTGCATTGATTACACGAATCTCAACTAGGCTTGTCCCAAAGACTGTTATCCGATGCCAAGCATTGATAAATTGGTTGAAGTAGCTTCTAGAAATGAGAGATTACGTCTCTTGGATGCATATTCTGGTTACCACCAAGTGCCGATGGCTTCGAAAGATGAAGAGAAAACCTCATTCTATGTAGGTGATGAAATTTATTGCTATGTCATGATACCCTTTGGCTTAAAGAACACAAGTGCCACTTACTAGAAGATGGTGACCATTGTGTTCCAAGCTCAGATTGGTAGGAATCTAGAGGTTTATGTCGATGACATTGTGGTAAAGAGCCTGAGAGCAGAGGATCATCTAGCTGACCTCGATGAAACATTTAACAACCTCAGAAAGAACAGAATGCGATTAAACCCAATAAAGTGCATCTTCGGTGTGGAGTCTAGGAAATTTCTAGGCTTCATGGTTTCTAGGAAGGGAATTGAGGTTAACCCAAAAAAGATCAAAGTAATAGCCGAGATGGAATAACCAAAGTCGGTGAAAGATGTACAGAGATTAACCAAGAGGGTGGCAACTCTTCATAGATTCATATCGAAATCAACAAATAAGTGTGTGCCATTTTTCAAGATCATGAGGTTAGCAGCCCAGAAAGATGAATCTGGCAAACAAAAGAAGTTTGAATGGAACTTAGAATGCCAAGCTGCATTCGAGGAGTTGAAGTCTCTTAGCTCACCCCCTTTATTAACAAAGGCTATAGACGGAGAAATCCTTTATTTGTATCTCGGTATTTTTGATGAAGCAATCAGTTTTGTGCTAGTGAGAGAAGAGGGCAAACAACAAAAACCAGTTTATTATATAAGCAGCATGTTACACGGCCAGAAAATTAAGACCACATTTTCAATCACACCAATCATAGTTCTCACAGATCAACCTCTTCGACAGATTTTTCAGAAGCTAGAATGCTCAAGAAAGTTAATTAAATGGGCTGTAGAGCTAGGGGAATTCAAGATAACATTTCAATAGACGTCAGCAATCCGAGCTCAAGCACTCGCAGATTTTGTCGCAGAATGCACTCCAACTCTTCCAAATTCTAACGCCGAGTCGAGCGGTTGGATCTTATATGTTGATGGAGCCTCAAGCAACAAGGGCTCAGGAGTTGGTGCTTTCCTAGTTGGTCCAGATGGATATTGAAGTGAGCATGTTTTGAAATTTAACTTTGATGCAACTAATAACATGATTGAATATGAAGCTCTGCTATTTGGCTTACAACTAGCATTAGAGTTGAAAGTCATGGCCATACAAATATACAGTGTTGACTCAATGTCCTCCAAGAAGGGGGTGAATTGGAGTTCCAAAAATTCTCCCTTTTTTGCAACCACAAAACCAAAATTAAAGAGAGTAGAGAAGAAGAGCTTGCTCAATGATTTATAGAGGTTCGGTCCAACCACTTGGAGCCTAGTCCTCTACCTTGGCTTCACTCACCAAGGATTTCTTTCACACTCTCCACTAGCAACAACAAGGGTGGCTTAAAGGAGCCACTCAATCCTTTTACAAGAAGATGAGTATTTCTCTCAAACCTCACCCCTTTACAATGAAAACCCCACGAATCGTCTCAATAGATCACTCTTGAAGGAATAATCACACCCCCAAGATCACTCACAAATAGAACAAGAAGAGGATTACATGTAAAGATCTCTCAAAGATCAAAAACTCAAGTTAAAGCTCATGTAGGTAGGTAAAGATATTCAATACAAGACTTTCTAAACCTCATTCAAATCTTCTACTAACCATATTTATAACCCCATGGTCGAAAATAGTGGTTACTAGCCATTGGGGGTCATTTAATGCTCTGCAGGACGCAAAGCTCGAGTTGCAAGATTGTCAAGAGAGCTGACTTAAGTTTCTAGAGCCGGCTCTATAAAGCCGGCTTACACTTCCAGAGTTGGCTATCTGGATTTGCAGCCTATTCTGTTTTTCTTGAAAGCCGACTGCAAAACTTTGAGCTGACTTTGGAACTCTAACTTTAAATACATTAAATATTCTTCAAATAAGTCGACCGTTGTGCATTAGATGCGCCCTCATAGCCAGCTACAAAGTGGGAGTCGACTCTACTTCCATTTTCCGCACGCGTAAAAACAACAGTTGAATTTCTGGCCTGTAGAGCCGGCTCAACAAAATCTGCAGTCGGCTTTCTGCATTTTTGCTTCCGAGAGCCGGCTACAATTTTCTTAAGTCGGCTCTCTGCATATTTTTACCCTTTGAGCCATTTTTAATGCAATCTCATTTTGCTTACTTTGCAATATATTGGTAATTTAACTACACACTTAAATAAATCAATTAGTCACTCAAATGTGTTTTGTAATCATCAAAATCATAGGTACAACATATAGTGACTCACAGCATGTGGTTAATCAAGTTAACTCAGTTTGCGAGGTTATTGATTATGTCATGATGAAGTATGTAGCCTTGGTGGCCAAGCTGAAGCGCAAGTTTCAAAAATTTTGTTTGAGTGAAATTCCCCGAATTGAGAATGAATAGGCAAATTCACTTTATAAGTTCGCCTCTAATAGCTCCTTAAGCTCCAGATCAGTTTTTGTTGAAGTTTTAGATAACTGAGCTTCATGAAGCCAAGAATGATGGAGATCAGCAAAAACCTGAATACACCGAGTTGGATAGATCCAATTGTCTCTTTTTCATGAGATGGGTAAGTGCCTGCAGATAAGCAAGAAGAGATGAGGTTAAGCAAGAAAGCATCTCGATACACACTCATTGATGGGGTCCTCTATAAGGGATCTTTCTCACTCCCTCTCCTACGATGCTTGAATCCTTATGAAGCTGAGTACGCACTTCGGGAGGTGTATGAAGGTATGTGTGGAAGCCACATTGGTGTTAGAACCCTAGCTCACAAAGTCCTTAGACAAGGATATTATTGCCCAAATATGTATAAGGATGCTACTCATTTTGTATAGAGGTGCTCGAAGTGTCAATTTTTTCACACTTAATTCACCAATCGATAGAAGAGCTCACCAACTTAGTAGCACCATGGCCATTTGCTCAGTGGGGACTTGATCTTTTAGGCCCATTTATGAAGGGGGTTGGAGGTGTAACCCATTTAATCGTTGGTGTTGAATATTTTACAAAATGGGTTGAAGCTCGGCCATTATCCAGTCTTACTTCCAAAAAGGTCGAAGACTTTGTTTTCAACTCAATCATCTTCAGATATGGAATCCCAAATTAGATTGTTGCTAATAATGGTACTCAATTTAACTGCTCTTCATTCAGAGATTTTTGCTCCAGTTACAGGATCAAACTACAGTTTACCTCAATATACCATCCGAAATCCAATGGTATGGTCGAATCTGTCAATAAAGCTATCCTAGAGGGAACAAAGTCGAGGTTGGAGCAGCACAAGTCCAGGTGGGCAGACGAGCTCAACAACGTCTTCTGGGCATATAGAACTACGAGCCGAAGTGCCATAGGTACCGTTTCCAACCCAAGTTACTTTCATTCAATTTTATTTTCTCATCTACGGCTTTATCCTAAAGCATATTCTATAACTTAATGAAATAGGTGAAACACTCTGCCACCTGGCCTTTGGTACCAAAGCAGTCATTCCTATTGAGATAGGAGTCCCAAGCTTCAGGGTCACCCATTTTGATGACGGACGAAATGGAAAACTACTTTGGGAGAACCTTGATCTACTTGCCGAAGTCAGAGGAGAAGCACGATTTCGAACTCTAGTATACAAGCAGAAATTAGATAACTTCTACAACAAACAAGTTCACCCTCGAACATTCAAAGTAGGAGACCTTGTTCTCAAGAAGGCTGGTTTAACAAGGTTTGAAACTCATTTTGGTAAATTAGCCTCGAACTGGGAAGGCCCTTACACAGTGGCCAAAGTGCCACATCTTGGTGCCTATTTCCTCCAAGACATGGAAGGAAAGAGAATTCCTAGAGTCTGGAATATCAATAACATGAAGAAATTTTATTCTTAATATACTTCTTTCAAGTGATCTTTGTCCTATCCTTCTTTATAATTATTACTTCTTCATTTTGAGACCCATTTCATCTCTTAGTCTGTATCTCCGAGGTTAATCTATTTGGAATTTATTTCTCGGACTTCACTTTTATTAATGAATTTCAATTCACATTCGAAGTGATTTACCTCATCTCGGTTCACATTCGAAGTGATTTACATCATTTCAATTCACATTCGAAGTGATTTACTTCATCTCAATTTTTATGATTAATCTAAAACAAACATAACACAAAACAAATATTACATATAATTTCAAAAGCTTTTCATTGAATAATAAACATTACAAACTATTCAAACTATAAATTGTTCCAATATTAACATAAAAAAAAAAAAAACAATGAAAATCCTAACTACTTCGGAGGTGGCTGTTCCTCAGTAGGAAGAGGAGATGGCTGATTCCCTTCCTCTTATATATCCTCTACCTCTGTAACCTCTTCTTCCACTACAACGAACTCGAAGTCGAAGTTTAGAGGAAAGATTGTATGACCTTGTACATCGTGATCCCACCTCAGCGTAACTTTTGGCCGGAAGTCAGCTAACATGCTTTCACCATTCTCCTCCACCTTTTCTTCTTGTTCACCAAAGGTGACACTTGTAACATCCACTTTGGGATATTGTGACTTCACCTTCTTTCTGCAGTCTGTGAAGGCCAAGATCGCAGTAGGCAGTCGATATAGGTTGACTATATTCTCAAAAGTCCCAAACCTCAAGAAATCTACAATATGCTCCTCTATGGCATTGTGTAACAACAACTCCACATTCTTCTTTAGCTTGACCACAGCATCTTTCATCTTCTTTTTTTTTTTCTTTCTCCTGACCCTCGTGCTCGCTTTCAGAGATCTTCCTTTTTCTCTCTTCAAAAATGAGCTTAATGTTCAAAGAATCCTTCTTCTCCTCAAGCTATTTCACTATTGGTACCATCTCATCCAGCGACTCTCGCATTTCCTTATTCTACTTCTCCAGCTCATCCTTCTCTTTTTGCAGTTGCTCACACTACCTCCGCAAGAGAGTGCGCTCCTTCACATTCTCTACAAACTCTTGGGCTAGTGCATTCACCCAGCTTGCACTCTGTAATTCTAGCAAAAGTAAAAAAATAAAATAAAATAAAATAAAACAAAATCAACAACAACACATAAACCAACTTAACATACCTCTAGAGTGTGCTTCACCACAGTCGCCCCAACGTACCTCAGCACCTCTTCCTTAGCCTAGCACTTGTCCACTTAGGGGAAGGTTGCATTAATAAACCTTTTTGCCCCTGTTGCGTTCTTCGTGTCAAATAGGCTGCTTTGAAAGGAAAGAGGAAGAATGAGTCCTTTCTTTTTACCAGGGGCTTTAACCTCAGCCTCCTTGACCTCAATCTCCTTGAGCTCAGGATCGAGCTCAATAGGAGGAGGCTGAGGTACGAACTCCATTACCTTGTCCCCCCTAACCTCCTTTTCCACCATCTTCTTCTTTTTTTGAAGTGCTCTTAGCTCCTCACTCCCTTTCCTTTTCAGCTCTGGCCTTGGTAGCACTTTTTGAACTCCAGCTGAGTTGCTATGCACCAACTCCTTCCCAACTCTTTTCTCACTTGCCTCATTAGTTGAAGTCCTTGACTTCTTCCTTGACTTCTTTGGAATGGCCACCCCTTCAGCAGCACTCAAAAACTTATCCATCTCAGCTGCAAAACAACAAAAACAAAAAATGTCAACAACATAAATCCATATCTAACACCAAGCACCACAATATAAAAAATAAACACACCTTCACTCAAAGCACTTGGCCCATAGAGCTCAGCAGCCTTTATGACATTTGAGCTGGTGAGGTACATGATATTCACTAAATCACCCCCTCCTTCACCAACTTCCCCACCTTTTCTTCCTCATCCTCATTCAAACTGTACTTATTTTGGTTGGCTTTCTTAGCCTTCTAGGATGACAAAAATTCTACCTCGGCATCCCCCCTTTCCCACTTAGTGTCATCTACAAAGAAATATTTTTCCTTCCATCTTTTAGTGGATGAAGGACCCGCTGTAAATAAACTCATATTTTCCTTATTTGACACTCTAGGGGTAAAATAATATCACCCCTTCTCCTTCCTCCTTCCACCCTTAAGAATAAAAAAATGTTTGAACATATTTACGGTTGGCACACTAACCCCTTGAGCTTGGCAATAAATTAAAAACCTTATTATTATCCTCATTGCATTGGGGGCTAGTTGTGTCAACCCTATACTATAATCTAACAATAACCCCACCAACAACTCAAGAATTGGAAATCTAAGCCCCACTGCCAAGTAGTGGGCATACATAGGCATCCAATGATCCTGAGGTGCAGAACATGCCCTCTCCTCTACCTCAGCAGGCCTAATTAAAACTCCGGAAGAAATTTCATAACTCTTTACTAAATAACCCAGGCTATCCTTGGTCCTGAATTCAGACTCATACTGCCTCACCTAAGACATGATATTTGCCTCAACATCATAACACCTTTCATTTCTACCCTCCACTTTTAATACAGTTATGGAAACCCCATCTCCCTCAACCATAACCATCTCACTTCTTCCTACCCCTTCCTCTGTCCTCTCTGAGTCGAATGACTCACTAGTCATGCCCACGTCACTATACTCCAATGCCCTTGCTTCCTCACTTCCCTCAACGCTCAATGTTTCCTCAAAAGACATCTCTTCAAGTTTTGTAACTTTCACTACATGGAGTAGGGGGAGGGAATGAAGTCAGGATCTTTGAAAAACTCTAACTCACGCTCACCATCACTCTCAGTCTTAAACCTAACCTCCTTCAAAGGACTTAGATCTAAATCAGAAAGGATGAGAGAAAGAGAAAACACATACTAGAATATGAATCACCGAAACTCATACATTACCTGATCTCGATCTTGAAAGATTGATGTAAAAGTCCACAAAGAATGCAACAGTCTAGACGCAAGAACACAATAGAATTTTGGCGACACCTCGATAGAAAATACAACAAAAGTAAAACCTTTTTTACAGAGCTATAGCTATATATACCAAAGCAAATATATGCTTGAACGGTTATGATTAATTTCATTTGATGGTCACGGTTACACCCTTTCAAATTCAATAGTTAATCCCTAATGTAAATCTCTCGAATTCGATGGTTCGTTTTCCATTTCGTCTGTTTAACTGTAGCAGTTACTTTTCCCAGCCCGTATTTGTTGTACACGTCTTTCAACAAACATTTGTCACATCACGTACTAACTCTATGTTAGACTTTTTAAACAAGCCCAATTAAGCCCAACCCAATACTTCTATTTACTTTCACAATAATATTTTTCAATTTTACAAGTGTTTCACCTTGGCTACGGCCACAATGACTCCGATCTTCACTTGTTACCTCGGCTACGCTACAATGACTCTGGTCATCACTTGTTACTTCGACTACGACCATAATGACTCCGGTCATCACTTATTACTTCGACTATGACCACAATGACTCCAGTCATCACTTATTACTCTAGCTCCGGCCATAGTGACCACGTGTCACATATTTTACTTTCGCTCCAGCCATAATGACCCCGTGTCACATATTTTACTTCGACTCCAGCCATAATGACCTCATGTCACATATTTTACTTCGGCTTTGGCCATTGTGATCACATATCACATTTCATTTCAAATATGGCCACAGTGACCCCATGTCACATATTTTACTTTAGTTACGGCCATACATGAATTTGAGTGACCAATTTTTATTTTAATTATGACTCTAGTAACTCAACTGTGGTATTCTTTCATTCCTCTTTTCACCTAATAATACACTACTCTTACCACCTTTAACAACATTATTAACAAGTGAATGAGTTCGAGGGGGGAATAGTGTAAGGATAGGTCTGAAGTCCCTAACCTCGGACATACTGCTACAATTCCTTAATAACTGAAGTGAAGTTAAATCCAACACTTCCCAGCTAAATGGCTGCATGATAAATACAGTGAACATGCCCACACCTAATTTACATAATTTCTCGGTCTGGAAATTATCACTTGAAGGGACACATCACACTCCGATTATCTTATTAAGCAAGCCACATGGACACCTTACTAAGGCCTATAAATACCCCTAGGGGCCATCTTAGGAAGGTAATTGAAACCGACCCAAAGCTCTTTTTTCCATTATTCTAAAGGTAGATCCGATTATTGCTGACTTAAGCATTAGAGTGTCTACCTCGAGAACCCACATCGGGGCTTTGCAGGTTCATCCGGAGTGAAGATGCAGATTGTACAATTACAAGAAGATTCTAGAAGAAGAGGGGGAGGCTTGGGTGAGGAAGAAGAAGGAGGTTTTGAAGAGAGAACCCGATGGTTGATTGGGGAGAAAAAAAAAGGATTTAAGCCTTTGTCATTTTTTTTTTTTTTTTGGCTTTTGGGTTTTTGGTTTTGGGTTTGGTATTTGGGTTTGTGTGGTTTTTGGGTTTTAAATGGAAATGGGTTGGTGTTAGGTTGGTTTTTGGTTTTAATAGGCTAGATTTATAGCTTAAAGGATTTCAGCCCAACTTTTGATCTCTTCAATTGAGTCTTTTCTTTCCTTTTCCTTTTCTAATTTTCTTAGCACAAATCTCCCTTTTTTTGCTCATGAACCTAACAAGGCAAACAAAGACAAAACATATTAGTTAAAATAAAAATAAGACTAAAATAAAAATAAAAATAAAAATAAAATTCTATTAAAAATTTGAGTTATGACAGTTGCCCTTCTTTTCTTTTCTTTCTGCTAAGAATGAAAAGACAAGACAAGAATAACTCAAATTTTAACTCAACTCTTTTTTTTCTTTCTTTTTTTTTTTTTAAGTAAAAAGGTAAAGAAAAACGTGTCGAATGGTTGAACAGGTAAAGTAAAAATGGTTAAGAAATCGTAACGGTCGAATGATTGAACAAATAAAGTAAAAACTGCTATGAAACCGCAATGGTCAAATGATTGAACAAGTAAAGTAAAAATGGCTATAAAACTGTAATGGTGAAATGACTGAACAAGTAAAGTAAAAACGGTTTTATAACCACAACAGTCAAATGATCAAACAAGTTGATCTTAAGTGAGTTGATCTTAAATGATTTGATCTTTAATGAGTTTGCCTTAAGTGACTTGATCTTAAATGAATTGATTTGAAAATTTGAGTTGCAACGGTCAAACGATCGAGCAAGTTAGCTAGCTATAACCAAATGATCGAGCAAGTTGGGTAGCTATGGTCAAACGACCGAGCAAGTTGGGTAGCTACGATCAAATGACCGAGCCAATTGAGTAGCTAAGGTCAAACGACTAAGCCAGTTGAGTAAGTTGATCTTAAATGGTTTTGATCTTAAATGAGTTGATCTTAGCTGAGTTAATCTTAGTCGAATTGATTTTAAACAAGCTGATCCTAAATAGTTAAGAAACTGCAACAGTTGAATGATAAAAAAAGTTGATACTAAACGGCTAAGAAGCTACAATGGTCGAATGACCACGCAATAGAGTATTAGTATGGTCGAATGACCGAAACAATAAAGCATCAGTATGGTCAAATGTCCGTAACAGTAGAGCATGAGTATGGTTGAACGACCGAAATAGTAGAGTATGAGTATGGTCGAATGACCAAAGCAGTAGAGTATCAGTATGGTCGAGTGACCGGAACAATAGAGTATCAGTATGGTTGAATGACGAAAACAATAGAGTATGAATATGGTCCAATGATCGTAACAGTAGAGTATGAGTATGATCGAATGACCGAAACAACAGAGTATGAGTCTGGTCGTGTGATCGAAGCAATAAAGTATCAATATGGTAGATTGACCGAAACAATAGAGTATTAGTATGGTCGAATGACTGTAACAGTAGAGTATGAGTATGGTCGAATGACCGGAACAGTAGAGTACGAGTATGGTCGGGTGATCGGAGTAGTAAAATATCAGTGTGGTCAATGACCAAAACGGTAGAGTGTTAGTATGGTCAAATGATCGTAACAGTAGAGTATGAGTATGGTCGAATGACCGGAACAGTAAAGTATGAGTATGGTTGAACGACCGAAACAATAGAGTATCAGTATGGTTGAATAATTGTAACAGTAGAGTATGAGTATGGTTGAATGACCGGAACAATAGAGTATGAGTATGGTTGAGTGACCGAAACAATAGAGTATCAATATAGTCGAATGACTAAGAAAAAAAAGTAGAATATCAGGGCCTAATGAGTGTAAAATGCAATCAAAAGACTAGATGAAAGTAATGATTAAAAGATCTGCAACCATGAAACATATGCAAGTGAGACAATCTTCATATATAAGATAAGGTAAAGTGTAGAGAGGTTAAGAAACTTCCTTCAACATATTGGATGTCCATATTTGACAAGAGTCCTGTGTCTTTCATGTTTCACATTCATCAATCAGTGATTATCCCTATGTAGCAACTCAAAAGATTCACAGTCACGAATGCCCTATTGAATGCAAGAGGTGGAATCTCATTTGTTTCCCATGAGGAGATATTTGAAAATATTGCCCTAATAAGTTGAACTTTCATTTGCTATTGGAGTTTTAGCTAGCATGGATGACTCCTTAGCTATGGAATTCGGCTTCCTTTCTCCTTGTAATCCTCATCTAACCTTTCAAATTCATCAAGAGATTTTGATCAGATAGACAATTATATTAACTGAAATGAATGTATCATATTCAACTAATATTCCCAATACTGAATAAAAGGCGAGGTTGGAGTAAAACGCAAACAAAACAATAGCAAAGATTGATTCCACTAGATTCAAGAGAGGGTCGAATAATCAAATAGTCAACTTCCTTTAGTGACAAAAGAAGTCTAGCTAGTAACACAAGATTTTGATGTAATGGGTTGCAAGATATTCAGACCATAAATCATTGCTTTAGATCATTTTTTCTTTTGCAACTCTACCCATCAGTCTTTTAGTCTATGAGAGAAAATTTCATTCCCTTTCTGAATGTTGACACCTCAAATCTTTCCCCTTTTCATGAACTAACTCTTGTGCTCAGAAGAAGGAAGTTTCCCACTGTCAATGCTTGGAGCTTTGATGTCTCCTTTTTTTTTTTTCTTTTTTTTTTCTTTTTTGTTAATGTATGCCCTTTGACATAGAAAGCTTCAAATCCTCAAACAAGGACTTTTCATAGGCTTGTAACATGGCTTGGGTTAGGTTACGATGAAAGAAAGGATAAAGGCTCAAAATTCATATATTTCCCTCACATTCTTTTCTTCACTTCCCCGGTCATTAATGTGGGTTAATAGAAAGAAAATCATTATGGCTTTTGTAAATTTGAATAATTACCTTTTTCTGGCTCGAAAGGGGTAAGCAAAAAGGTAATATTCAATTGTTTATGATGGAGAAACAGGGCCTTTCATCATTGGATTTCCACTTTCCAAGTCAAGGAAACATTTAACTTGTTAGGCTACATTTCCTGGTTTTGATGTAAGTCTCTCTTTTTTTTTCCTTTTTTTTTTTTTTTGTTTTTGTTGATGATATTAGCATTCACTGGATGATGATAATTAGTTCCATATGGATATCTCAACAAGAGTGTTCCTCCAACGAAAACTTCTTTAACAACATAGGGTCCTTTGTAGTTTGGTGCAAATTTGCCCTTAGGTTCCCTTTCATTTAGCATGATCTTCCTTAAGACAAGATCTCCTTGATGAAATACTCTAGGTTTGACCTTCTTGTTGTAAGTTGTTGCCATTCGTTGCTGATAACATTGGCCATGACAAAGAGCTATCAATCTTCTTCATCAAGCAAGTTGAGACTATTAACTCTTTTCTTTCTTTGTCTCTTTCTCTC